TCCTGGGCTCTCTCCCAGTACAAACCAGTCACCATTATGCCCAGTTAATATTTAAGCTGGGCTTAATCAGTCTCCCTTTCCTTTTCCAATTCCCATTAACCCATGCCACTTTTCTTGGAGCGTGGGCTCTGTTGGAATCTGGGATTTATGGCAGCTGCTCCTCACCCCAACTGCCCTAAGTTACACTCCCATTCTGCAGCCTACAAAAAAAAAAAAAAAAGAAAAGAAAAGCTGATTTTTCTTCTCCAAAAAAGTTGGGAAATTCACACAACCACTAAAACCCAGCTGCCCGTTTCACTGGCACGGGAGGAGCTGAGCATCCCCTGAGGGTCTCCACTGACCTCTCCCATTCAAGATCCAACATTCCCCTGTGGGAAAAACGTCCCAAAACTCAGCTTTCCCCCGGAAAATCTTCATGGCTTCTCCAGATGCCAGCAAGAGCTTCACCACCGCAGTGGCCAGGAGCCCAGAGGAGGTGCTAGCCACACTCTGGGCCTTGGGGTGGAAAGAAAACTGTTTATTTTAGGCTGAGGACTGATGAGATGAGAGCCATTGATCGCAGCTCGTAATTACATTGTTATCTCTGCCCTGGCACGTAAAGAGATTTCTGCCTGCTGGCTTTTGGAAAAGCTGGGCTGGAAAGCGGATAGAGGAGGGATTTATTTATTTGAGCTCCTCTATTATTTAGGTGAAATGTTAAAGAGGAAAAGCTTGGTTTATTTATTTTATTTTTTTTTCCCCCAGGAGATGGGAAGCCAGGGAAGGTTCCTCTCCTGCTCAGTGCCCTCCTGGTGCCCCAGGATCAGGCAGGAGATGAGGAGAGCTCCATAACGTGGAATTTTGAATGAATTATCCCACAGGAGGTAATCAGTAAAGAGCACTCAGGTGCTGCTGTGACCTCCTGGAGCCACAGGAGCCTTGGAGAGGAACCTGGATTTCACAGGAGTGGAACAGGAGCCCCAGACTTTGCCAACACCTCCATCCCACGGCTTTTCTCCAGGGATGGTCCTGGCCCCTCTCCCAGATCAGCCAAGGACCTGTCTCAGGTCCTGGCTGCTGCTAAAGGTGCTGCTGCCATGCCCATTTCCCAGCCCCTTGGATGAAGAACAAACTGGGATCCATTTCCCAACCACTAAATTCCTGCTCCTGACTGGCCTGGCCAGAACCAGGATGAGAATCCGAATTTTGTCTGCTCCAAAGGTCCAAATCTGATTAACACACGAGGAAAGTGGCCGGGAGAATGGGATGGTTCAGACGTGCTGAGGTGGAATTAAAACTGGGAAACCACCCACAGAAGCAGGAGATTCAAAGGATGGTCCTGAACAAGCCCAAATTGCAACCCAAGGACTTTCCTTCTGGAGTGGCTGGGAAGAAAATGGGAGGAGAAATAAAAATTAGAGGGACTAAAAGTTCCTCTCTTATTCCCATGGCTTTGAGCAGAATCCCTCTTTGGAATCATTTTCCATGCAGGAATTTACAACCATGGCTGGTTCTCCTCCATCCACAAACACCACAGCACCTTCATCCCAGAGATTCCTCATCCCAGTCTTCCTCTGGAGCTGGATGCTCTCCCTGCTGGCACCTCTTGGATTGGATTTCTTGGCTGGGAGCTCTTGGATGGGACTGGAATTCCTCCCCTGGGATTTCCCTGCTGGGCAGGAAATGGAAAAGAGGAGGAAAAAAAAATCCATGAGAAGAACCCAAGGTGGAAAACAAAAATATCAAAAAGAAATTAAAGCTCAATTTTAAGGCTGCTGGGCTTCCCAGGGAACGTTTTTCCCAGAGGACAAAGCCTCAGCGCTTCCCTGCCGCTGAAGGTTTAGGAGCGGCAGGAACAGGGTGCGATTATCCAAAAAATTCCCAAATTCCTGGAAATATCGGGACATCCTTGCGGCAGCTCCTCCTCGCTCCGTGCCTGGAGCTCCAGTGACATCTGCTGGGCATCGCCACCGGGGCTCCCACCAGCCCTGCCCTGGGAATTGAGCCTAAACCCGCCCCAATAAAACGAAATAAATAAAAGAAAATAAAAAGAAATCGTTGCTCAGATGGAGCCGCCACCACCCAGCGCCTCCTGCTCCCCAAACTGGGAGTGAGGGAAAAAACTTCTCCCACCACCATTCCTGCTTTTCCTCAGGGCTTCACTCCCAGGCACCAAGCGAGGGGAGTTTTGAGATTTAAACCTTCACGTTTTACCCAGGATATTCCCAAAACCCAGCAATTCCTGTTACCCCCAGCCGGGATCTCTCTCCCAACCACCCCAAACTTCTCAACATCTCCAGCCCAACTCGATTCCAGCAGGAATTCCCACCCCACCAGGAACTCCCAGAACCTCTGCCCACCCCGTGGGGTTCCTGTTCCCACAGGGAATGAAAAAAAAAAGCCAAAAATCTGGGTTTTTTTGTTCTTTTCCAATAGTCTCACTTTATTAGATACCACATCAAGAGAGGATGTTGTGCTGCATGCAGCGGAAGACTGGAGGATTTCTAATTCCTGTGTAACGTTTTCTTTTTCTCTTAACAGTTGTAAACTGATATTTGGCTGTAAAATCACTGCATGCGAGTCTGAATGCAAACAGCAGTAGAAGAGGCTTCTCATTTTCTTTTTTTTTTTTTTTTTNCTTTTTTTGTTTGTTTGTTTGTTTTGTTTTTCACCATTCCCAATCCATAGGTGCATGCTTTATTTACAACAAAAAGAAGTCATTCAGGGCAGGAATTACCATCAGAAAAACTGAGAAGAGGGAGGGCAGAGACCAGGGCTGTGGTTTTGCACGATACCGGGGAGATTGGCAAGTTGCACTTGATTTTTGGAGGTGCAAAGAGATGATCTGAGTATCCTTTTCCCAAAAAAAGCAGGCTGAACAGGGAATGGGAATACAGGATGGGATAAGGGTAACCTTAAGTGAGTTGTTCTGCACATACAAACGAAGCTGGGCTGCTGCAGGACTGGGAGGAATTAAGGAATTGTTTAAATAATGATTTTTTTAAAGGTTTTTTTACCCTCAGCCACACATTTCCCCAGCACAGCTCCGTGCCCAGGTGCTGCTCTGGGCATGGCAGGAATGTTTGGGCCAGCTCCATCCCTCTGGAAAGGGTGGTGGCAGCTTGGAGTCATGAAGGTTGAAAAAGGGAGAATCCAACCATGGATCCTGGATCCCACCATCCCACAGCTCAGCTGGGCCTGGAGCAGGGAGGTTTTGGCACGGGATGCAGAGGGAAACAGCCCAAAAAAATGGGATTGTTTCAGTCTGCTCCTGGCCAGAGTGGCTCAGGGATGCCACCCTGAATGGCACAGAGGCAACAATTCCGTGAAAAAAGGGGAAAAATTCCAGGTGTTCTCTTCCATTCCACCCCAAGCCAAGCCACAGGCACCATCACACCACAGCTGGGGTGATGGAAGAGGATCCCCAGCTCTGGCTGGACCTTCTGGGGTGGGCTGGGTTGGCTTTTCCCACCTGGAGATGCAAGGAGGGGGAACCTGTGTCAGGCTGGGCCAGCTCAGCACAGAGTGGGTTTTGTCACTCGGGGCTGGGGACACTCAGGGCACATCAGCAAATTCTGTTGGGGCTGAGTGGAATAAAGAAAATATCAGGAAAACCAAACTCATCCGACTCAAAGAGAGGGCAGCTGCAGCAGAGGGTGCAGGGGACTCGGGGGGAGGTTTCACACCTCATGCTCAGTGTGACAAAAAATTCCATATATTCCGTAGTGCTTAGTGTGCTCCTATCCATGAGGTCTGGGGTTTTCCAGAGCCAGGGAGTGTTTCAGAGCCAGGGAATGGTTCCAGAGCCAAGGAATTGTTCCACTGCCCAGCAGCAGCACCTACAGGGAGTCGGTGCTCTCCTGCTGCCCAGACCAGGTCTGACAGCTCCAGGCCATCCTTAAAGTGCAGGCTGAGGGTTCTTGTGCAGAAAACTGGGAAAAGCGAAAGAAAACCAAACCAAAACAACCCACGTTTGGAAGTTCTCGGACTGTTCCAGCTAATTCCAGGAGTTGTGGTGGTTTAAAGCAATAATCCTTGCACACATCAGGGGGCTGGGGGAAGTAGCAGCTCCCTCAGCTTCCCTCCTGAGGAACAGAAAATCCTTGGAAGCAGGAGGGGTTGAGGGGACCCAGGGCTGCCCTCAGGGCTCGGCCAGTCACTACTACACAGCTCAGAGGTGAAGAGGAGGTAGTCACAACCCTAAAACACAGCTGGGCTCCTAGAGCAGCAGAGCCCCCGAATTCCTCGGGCGAAGGAGCCGCCCGCGGCGGCTGGAAACGACGGGAACCAAAGCAAACCTGCTCCCCTGCCAGCACAGAGCTCCCCAAACCCTCCTTGTCGCTGTTGCTGGGTTGGTGGTGGATCTTCTCGGCAAAGGATGTGCCACAGCGTTGCTCAGGTGGGCCAGACCGGAGGCGAAGAAGCTCAAGCGGGACTCGCGGGATGACACCGGTGACACCGGATTTGGCCTAACCACGACGACACGGACACCAGGCGACGGTGACGCCCACGCCAAAGCCAAGGAGCTCGTTCGTTATTGCAACTGAGGTATTGAGACCACACAAGCGGCACAGGCCGATGCTCCCGAGCCCAGCGCTCCCATCTCCCGGGGGGAGACGCCGGAGCGGAGGCCGGAGGGACATAGAGCGTCAGGAACGCGACGGGAACGCTGCCACGGGGACCGGGGAGGAGAGAGAGAGGGGGGACAGTCGGGAGGGAACTATTGCTTGCCAAAATTACACACCAGGGGAACTCGCCGGCCTCCCTCCCCCAGCTGAAAAGAAATACAGGAGAATAGAAAAGATCTGGGGGAGTTTCCAGTGGAGGGGAGGATGGAGGGGTCAGAGGCTGTAGCAAGGCGTGGCTGCGCTGGAAGACGACATCGGGGACATCGGGGACATCGGGGACCTACAGGGGCGTGGCAGAGGGCGGGGAGGGCCGGGCAGAGGCTCCCTTTAGTCGCTGGCGACGTGGTTCTCGTTCTGCAGGGTGTGCCAGCGCTCGATCTTCTTGTCCTTGTTCTTCAAACACTCGTACCAGTGTTTCAAGCGCTCGCCCTTGGCCGTGATCCCCAGCTGGCAACCGCCTGGGAAAAGGGGAGAAGAGCAGACTTTGTATCCAGAGGTGGTGCTGCTGATCCAGGAAATCCTGCCCTGGGCGCACACCTCACACCCTGCAACGCTTTTTCCACCTCCTGGATCAAAAGTCTAATGGGAACGCCTGGAGATGCTTTTCCTGCCTGGAAGACCTCGCAGGATGCTGGAGTGTGTGGGGGCTGCACCCACCAGGTTCCATCATCCCACCTGGCAGGTGACCCCCTCCCATCCAGCAGACCCCGTGCCAGGCGCCAAACCCCTGCCCAGAGGGCAGAGCCTTCCAGCTCACCGATGTAGTCGTTGGATTTTCCGATGTCGTAATCCCAGACGGAAATGTCCAGGGATTTCTTGGCCAGGTCGCTGTGTTTGATGTCGTAGAAGAACTCCTGCAGGAATGGGAGCACCCACGTGACACCCCAAAGGAAAACCCACCCTAAAAGCTGCAGTTAAGGGGTTGGACCTGATCTTTGCTCAGCAGGGATTCAAAATCCAAGGAGAGGATGGTTAAAATGTCATGAATGAAGGAAAAATGCTCTTTCCTTGTGGCATCTCTTTTCCAAGAGCTGAGCTCACCCCTTGCGCCTACGTGAGCCCTTTCCAGGTGTCCCACCAAGCTGCACCAGTGGAGAATTTCCAGTTTCCACCCCCAGGAATGCTCATCCCACCCACATCCCCAGCTGGGATGCAGGGAGCTTTCAGGGGGTGTGGTGCTGTCTCGGCAAAGTCATTCCCAAAATATTCCTGGGCACAGGAGTGGGAAAGGAGCTGGAGCAAAGAGCCAAACCTTGGGGTGTTTGTCTTCCTCCACTCAACACTGCATTCAGTGAATTAATTTAATTATATAAAAAATATCCATCCATACCTCGTTAAACTCAGGATTCAACGTTTTCTTCTTAATCTGTGTCTTGTGCTTGGCCTTTTTTCCCATGTCAGGTTTCAGCCAACTGGGGGCAACAGAAAACAGCTCAAAATTCAAGTGCAAGAACAGTGGGAGTTTATAAGCTTTAAAAGTGAGTTTCTGGGCTGGAAGAGATTTATTTAGGGCCAGTCTCCCTTCCCACCTTCCAGAGGATGTGGGAAAAGTGTGGGGCTGGGGCTGTGCAGCCTGGCTGCAGATTCAGAACTCATTTTAGGGCTGGGATTAATTAGATCTCTGTTAGAAGCTGATTTAAAAATGTAAAGCCACCATCTTCTGTTTGTGGGAGTGGAGAATGCAACATATAAAGAGAGACTGGGAAGGAAAACTGCTCTGTTCCGCTGAGCTACAAAAAGCTGAGCAGAATATGTTCAACATGAGAATTATTGGATGAGACTTAGGGAGAAAAGAGGGGTTTTTAATAAAGGCAAAGGAAAAAAAAAAGGAACAGATCCCACACCAGGAATGGCTGCAGGGACCTCTCCATGGTGCAGCTCACGAGGCTGGAATAAAAAACATATTCCCCACATTCCCAAGAGCCATGTGGGTTTATGGGGCAGCAAGCAGGACATGGAGGGACATGGAGCCACCTCTGTCCTGCAGCCAGGGTGGGTCAGAGGTGGAGAGAAGGACGCCCCGTCCTCCAGCTTCCACCATCCCTGGACTCCCACCACGCCCTGGATGAGTCACGGGTGGGAATCCCTTGGGTGGGATTCTGGATCCTGGGAAGTCAGGCACCAGCCCCAAGCCCACCCCCACATCCCCCACGTGTCCTCTGCTTGCAGACACAAGGTGATCAGTCAAAGCTTGGGCTCCTGAAGTCTCTTCCAGCCTGTAACACGTCTGGGATTCTCCATGGGATAACCCCGGGATCTGGGCACTTGGAGAGCCACAGACCCAAGGGCTGGCCCAACACCCCTGAGCTCCACCTATGGATATTCTCAGTTCAGGCAGAGAGAAAAAGAGAGTTTTGTAACCAGGCTGGACCTGGGAAAAAGTCGGGAAGGAATGTAAATAATTCTCTACCTCTCCTGTTGTTCACATTGTTTGTAGATCCGTTCTGCCACCGTGCGCCATTCAGAGGCACCAATGGTGGGAGATGTTTTTACTTTAAGGCCAATGAAATGAATCTGCTCTGTAAAAAGAGCCACGCACTTCAAATAAATCAGTCGAGCTCTATTCATGGAGCTCCGTCATTGCCATCCTGCCTCAACAGCGACGTCCGCCCACAACGGGGACACCGCCACGGCCGCTGGGCAGCTCCGGCTGCGCCAGGGCTCCGGAGGAAGCCCAGCTGGTGGCTCCAGGTGAGCTCCAGCCCGGAGCCATGCCCGGCTCACTCACAGCTTGACGAAGGGGTCCGAGTATCCGTTGGCGTCCATGGCGGCCAGGTGCACGCAGCGCACGATGCCCACGACGAGCCCGCCCTGCTGGGTGCTGTACATGAGGGACACCAGGATCTTCCCGCGCTCCTCCACGTCCCCGCCGCGATCCACCTGCGGGAGGAGCCGCCAGAGGAAAGCTCGGAGGGATGGGATGGGTATCGGGGAAGGTGGGAGATAATGCACACAAGGGATGGTGGAAAGGACACGGGTGGTGGTGTTATAGGACACGCGAAAGCACGACGCGAGCCGCCTGCTATTTGCAAGGTAAAGGAGAAGGTTTATTTTTTGATTCTAACTTTTATACTTTTCTAGAGGTGACAGTGGATTGGAGAGTGAATGGGCCACCTCTCCAAAGACACTGGACAAACCACCAGTATATCAAGTTTCTTTACCCCTATGAAGGAATGCAAAACAATGTGTTGTTTATAGAAATTGTGTGGGAAAGTTTTCTAACAGAATGTAAACTCAGAAGTCTTTAGAAAATCTTAAGGATCAGGGCGACAGGGTGGAGCTTGTCCTGCTCCAAGGACTCACCTCCTCTTCGTACAAGGCCATCCCACGGGATGCGCCGGTTGTTCCGGCGCGCTTCGTCTGGGGTGGGAAAGGGACAAGGAGATGTCGTGAATGCCCGGGAGAGGCAGCATCCCACAGCAAAAAAAACCTGGGAATGCATGCAGCTCAGCTCCTGCCCTGCACTCCAAAGTGGGAGGGCCTCAGGAATGTCCATCTGCTCCACCAACCCCCGTCCCAGCGGATTCAACAGGTGACAGAGCAATCTGTCCCCTCCTCCACGGTGACATCCATCGGCAGGGGATGGCAAAGCCAACAGGAGAAGGCCCTGGAGTCACTTCCCATGGATTCCCACCAGGCTCTGATCTCCTGGCCTTGGGATGTCACATCAGCCCAGGTGGGAATGCAACTCCGAACGGTGCCGGGGAAGCCAGGCACCTCCAGCCCCTCCAGCCCATCCCTGCATCCCTCCGGTGGCATTTCCAAGGAAATGGCAGGAATTCCCAAGGAAATGGCAGGAATTCCCAAGGAAATGGCAGGAATTCCCAAGGAAATGGCAGGAATGGAAAGAATTTTCTCGGACACTCACTGGTATTACTCTCTCCAGGCAGATGTTGAAGTTCTTTTTCTGGTTGGCTTTGAGTTTTTTCAAGGCAACTCTGGTTTCTCCGATGAACTCGTTGTGGCCGAATTTGTCCTCGTCACACACGGAGATCCTGGAGGGAAGAGGGAAAGGAGAACATGACTGGGCTGGAGCAGTCCAGAGCCAAACCCATCCCTGCAGGGGCACTGCTAGGGGGAGGGAAAACAAAGCAAATCTCCTCCAAACCCACCCTTGATCTGGATTTCCTCTGACCAAAAGCCACCACCCCCAAATTTCTGGTTTGCCAAAAAAAAAAAAGGAAAAAAAATCAATATTTTTAATATTTGCTTTGTGATGGGGCAAGAATCAAGAGGTGGAAGTTTTCTGAGGGAGGAAAGAGCCATAAATTTTAAGTGATATGTATATGGACTTTTTTTTTCTGGGCTACTGTCAAATCAGCAGAGATGCACGTCTCTATGATGATAAAAATTGTAGCGTAATCAATAATTCACTATTAAATTACAAGGTCAAAATGCCAGTTTTCTTCTCTTCAAAGAACCATCCAAATGAGCAAATTCATGTTGATTTTAACCCAAAACTGCATGTCCCACTGCCCCAAACCCTCCTGCACTCCTGGGGTGAGTGAGGACTGTGACATTCACATTCTCTGGACAGAGAGACAAAATTCTGTCTCTCAGAATTTCTTAGAGAAGCACAGAGAGAAGAAGAGAAAACAATCTTGATCTCTGCTCCTTCATTTTCCCCATGTGGGATGTGGTATGGAGATTGTCCACCTGAACAGATTATTTAATTAAATTCTAGTGAGTTATTTAAGTTCAATGACCAACCAAACCCAGCTATATCTCAGACTCTCAACAGAGAGTCGCGAGCTGATTAATTAGTTAAATAAGTAAATAAAAATGTATAAAATAATAGAATATCTCTTTGAAGGACACCCACAGCCCCACCCCGGGGCTCCTGCTGGGCTTGCCTGAGGGTTTTCCTCTGCATGTCCTCGTCGGTGATGCCGTGGTACACCAGGGTCTCGTTCCACACGGGGTTCCGGGTGTTGCGCAGCGTCTTCGTCCTCAGCTTGTTCGACTGAGAGACCAAAAACCACAGGGGAATTGCACCTCCCTCCCTGCCCAAACCCCAGCTCCTGCCAGGGATTGTCACCTCTGGCGCAGCTGGGTGGTGGTGAGCTCAAGCAGAGGGGACTTGGTGACATGTGGTGGTTGGGAGAGCCTGGATTTTGTCATTCCCTGGGGTTTATTCCCTCAAGGAGAGGGGAAAAGGTGCCCAGGGCAGGATGTGGGGGCTCAGCTCACAGTTCTCATGGTCTAAGGGAGGTGACACAGAAGCCATCACTTGCCTGTGTGTCTTTCACAACCACACATCCAAAATTTAAAAAAAAAATAAATTGAAATGACTATCAGCAAATGAGAGCAGCAGGAATCAAACCAATCCTCAGCATCACACCTGGATTTCCTCTGAACAATACCAATACCTCCTGCACAAAGCAAAGCTGTAAAATCAATCCAATGATTTTATTATCAGTTTTCCCCTGGTTTTACTTCTGGTTCCTTCAACCAAACTCTGCTGCACCCTCTAAGCAAAGAGCCAGCACTGCTGGTGGTCATTCCTTCCTCAAGATTTGCCCACCCAGACCAGCCCAGCTGGGCAGGGAGATTTCCAGGAATTTCCAGGATGGAGCCAGAGTTTCCCCCATGGCTCTCTCCCCACAGCTCCAACAAGAATGTGCTGCAGCTTCCAAGCAAATGGATAACTCCAACCCTGGGCATAATTAGATTTTTGGGCAGATGTTTTGTGATGCGTTAACAGCAATGCCTCCTCTGGAGCTTCCCTCCAGCCCTGAGCAGATTCCTGCCTGCAGGATGAGCTGTTCCTCGGGTCTGGGAGAGCATCTGGGAGCATCCTCCCTGTTCAGAGATACCCCCGGGGAAAAACAGCAGCCAGCAGAGACATCAACAGGGAAAATCTGATCTGAAGGAGGGACCTGAGGGGGATTTGAGAAACCTCTGCTCCATCCCCAGCACCAAACCTGGCAAAGCCTCACCTTGCTGGCTCCGGGCAGGAGGTGCAGCTTCACATAGGGATCAGCCAGGCCATTGGAATCCATTGGTTTTAAGCCCTAAAAAATAATAAAGGGAACACAGGATGTGAATCCTCCTTCAGCAAAGCCAAGGAGGAGAAAAATCTGCCCATGAAAAGCTCAAAGAGAAGATGTGTGAAGTGACCCAAGAGCCTGTGCCCTGAGCAACTGTGGGTGCCAGGATGTGCTGAAACATCTGACCCATCCCTGGAAAAATCAGAGTTGTAGAATCACAGCATGGTGTGTGTTGGAAGAGACCTCAAATATCATCCAGTCCCACCCCCAGCCACGAGCAGGGACAATTTCCACTATCCCAGGCTGCTCCAAACCCTGTCCAACTTGGCCTTGAACACTTCCAGGGATGAGGCAGCCACAGTTTCTCTGGAAGGATTGTTCCAGGGCATCACCACTCCCAGAGATCTCTTGGATCCACACAGGGAAATGCCCCCCAACCCTCCCCAGCCAGGAGCAGCTGTGCCTGGAGCCTCCCAAGGGAGCAGCCTCTGCCAGCAGCCACATGGCTTCCTTCCCATTGTACCAGGGAAATGGGAGCCAGATGGATTTAAATCAGGGAAAAGGGGGGGAAGGAGCAGCTCTTGCCTTGGCCTTGATGAGGGTGCAGTGCAGGGAGCTGTTGTCCTGGTCATAGAGCAGGCTGAACTCCAGAGCTCCCAGCGTGGCTGACAGCAAGGGAGGAGGAAGAAACAGCCTCGTTAAAACCCCAGCCAATAACCGCATTTAATCATCCCCGATTAGTAATAATTAGAAAGATTTGCGGGTCCAATGTAAAAGCTGTTTAATGCAGTGACACTGTGCTGCCAGCAGCCAAACCACCACAAATCCAGGTGGATTCGGGAGCTCTGCACAGCTTTGCAGGGCAGGGACTGCCCAGGGAGACCAGGCAGGGGCTCTGCAGCTGACTCCAATAGTCCCCAGGCAAAGGAGGAGTAAACCATACCAGTCTTCCCACAGCAATTCCACCCCGGAGCACCCTGAGGAGATGCTCCAGCTCGGACAGCAGCTCCTCCCAAATCTGGGGCTCAGAGCCCAGCTCCTGTCTTGGCTTTCTGGAAACCAGCTCAGGCTCCTGCTCCTTCATCCTCATCCCAGGGATGAAGAGCAGGCACAGACGACATCAATCCAAGCACCTGCTCCCGACCCGGAGCAGCTCTTCCCACCCAGGTTGTTCCACCACAGATCCTCCCCATCAAATCCCCACCCGAGCTCCAAACCCCGCAGGGAAGCATCATTCCCTAAAGACTTTCCCTGCCGGACACCCACCTCCTCACGCCCCCCCAGCAACCTCCTCCAAATCCCACATTTCCCAAAGAAGCTCCCTCCCTGGGTGGGTACGTACTGCCTTCATCCGAGTCGTAGCTGTTGGCGTCCTCCTCCTCTTCCTCGCGGGGCTGCTGCTGCCGCTGCGGGGCCGCGGCTGCGGCCGGGGGCTGCGGGGCTGCCGGGGGCTGCCAGGCCGGCCGCTCCTCCCTGCCGGCAAAGCCCCCGGCCCGCTCCTCCCTGGCGGCGCCGCGGGCCGGCTCCGGGGGGCTCGCTGCGGACGGGGACCCCGTTAGCCCCCGGCCCGCTCCGCCCCGCAGCCCCCCGCAGCCGGCCCGGCGTTACCTTGTCTCTCCGGGAAGCGGGCGGGACCCCCGGGACCCGGCCTTGCCGCTGCGGCCGCCGGCGCTGGGGACAGAGGTGGCATCACCGGGTGTCCCCTGGTGCCCGCCGAGCCGCCCGCGGGGCATCCCCGGGGCCGCCGCTCCCATCGCGTCCTACCTGCGGGTCCAGCGGCGGCGGGACCGGCCGCGGCTGCCGGGGCTGGCCGCTGGCCTTGCACGGAGCTGGTTCTCTTCACACCTGCGAGGACAGGGGACGGTCAGCAGAGACCACCCCCGGGGGGCTCCCGGCTTGGCGTCCCCCCGCGATCTGAGCTTGCAGGGCCGCGGCTCCGCTCTCACCGGGGCTCCTGCTGACCCCGCTCTCGGCAGCGGAGTCGCGGCTGTCGCCGTCCCCACCGGTGGCCTCGCCGCCGCACGGAGCCGCCCGGCCCTCGGCCGCTTTGCGGCTTCCCCGGGCGGCCGCTGTGGCGTCGGTGCCTGCAGGGAGAGGGGGAAAGGAGCAGTGAGGATGGGAAAGCGAGCTGCCACCCCTGGGTGCTGCCCGGCCCGGGGGCAGCAGCAGGGGGACAATGGGTACGGCCACTGCGGCAGCACCTCCCGAGCTGCGGGCACTGCGGCAGGAGGGCTCTGCACCATCAAACCTGCTCAGGAAATCCCCAAGGACACGACAGTCCCACGGGAAAACAAGGCCTGAGGCATCCATCACCTGGTCCTCAGCGCCCTGAGGGGACCACAGCTCCACATTCCTTGGATTTGGGGTGGGGGGCATCCTATTTTCCTTCTGCTGATCATCTCCCATTTATTAAGGAGACAGCCGTGGCAGCTGCCTCTGCCTCTCCCTTCCATCACCCAGCGTCCCAGAGGATGAATCCCAGCCCGGCGCTCCGGGGTGATGAATTGCGACCCCACGGACGTGATGGGAAAGGTCTCGGCGCTCACCTGGCTGCTGCTGGAGACGCCAGGGATAAATCTTTGCCGTGACATAAATGGGCTGTTTCTCCTTGGCTGGGCTCTCAGGGTCACCGGGCGCGAAGACAAAGCGGAACGCAACAGATTGTGGGGGGGAAAGGAGGAGGGAGAGAGGGAAAAACACCGGGAATGCTGAAGAGCAGGGAGGGGGGGAACGAGCATCCAGGAGCAGGAGCCCCGTGGTGCAGAGAGAGCCGTGCAATAAATAATTTTCCAAGGGAATTGTAGGAAAATCATGAGGAGCAGGAGCATGCTGAGCACCGGGAGGGACGTGCGGAGCTGGCAAAGCCTTCCCGACTCCAGGATGAATAAAAGCTGCCCGTGGGGCTGGGAGGTTTAACAGCACCGGCTGGGGGTGTGATTAAATAGCCTTGATTAATGCTTTCCCCAACTGCTGCTGCAGGGAAGAGGGAGATCATCAATTGGGGACATCAAAACCTGGGCTAAAGGGGAGGATTCCACACAGGAACTACCCCCTCAACCCCTCTTCGCCAAGGAAGAGGAGGGTTTGCAGCCACTGCACTGCTCCCAACTTAATAATCACCCAAATGAGGAGCAGACGGTGTTGGACAGGGATCAGAGATCCTCATCCCCTTGGCATCCCATGTGGAAGTGTGAAAATGGGGGCTGTTCCTCAAAATGAACTCCCAGGGAGTCCTCCTGTCTCCAAACCTTCCCAGCAGGAGCCACGTGGGGGTCGGGCTCTTGTCCCGGGTAAGAAGAAACAGGACAAGAGGAAACAGCTTCAAGTTATGCCTGGGGATGTTTGGGTTGGATATTAGGGAAATTTTCTTCACTGGAAGGATTGTCCAACCCTGACACAGCTGCCCCATCCCTGTGAGGGGATCTAACAGCAGTGTGGATGTGGCCCTTGGGGACAGCGGTCAGCGGTGGCCTTGGCAGTGCTGGAGGAATGCTTGAACTCAATGGGCTTTGAGGGCTTTTCCAAAGTGGATGATTCCACCCCTGGAAGTGCTGGAGGGTGCAAGGAATAACCAGAACAGGCCACTGCAGCATCCTCACCCTGCCCTGCCTCCTGTGCACAGTGCAAGGCTGGGCTGCTCCACCCACCACAGACAGGCAGGAGCTCCCACAAACCTCCTAAACTTTCCCCGGGAGGTTTTCCAAGGACTGCCGTTAAATAACCAGGAAAAAAAAGAAAAAAGAAAAAAAAAACCCAACCACTTGCCCCTCCCAGCAGAACCCACCACCCACGGAGGCGGCTCTGGAGCGGCAGCGGCTCAGCCCCGGCGTGTGCGGGAGGTGGGGAAAGCCCTGGAATAACCCGGGACCCCGCAGGGTGGGCGGCAGCAGCAGCAAGGAGAGATCCTGCTGCAGCATCCCGGGGGGAAACTGGGCAGGAAAACGCCTTGGGAAGAGAAGGAGGCAGGGGACAAAGGCCGGTGCTTACCCTCGGTGTCCTCGGCATCCGCCTGGCCTTGGGGGCACAAACAGAGCGAGAGGGGGTGAAGCTGCAGCCCACGCACCCCCAGCCCCATCCCGGGACGTGCTGTTTCCCCGGATTTCCTTATTGATTTATCCCTATTTATCCCTATTTTATCCCTATTTTTTCCAAGACTTCCCCATCACCGCATCCCTACCCAGGCACTGCCCAGGCTCTCAGCCGATCCCCACCCGGGGCTGCTTTGTTCCAGGTCGTCCTGCAGCCCCATCCATCCCCACCGGGGACTCCTGGACGAAACATCTCCAGGCCCCATTGCCAGCGCCTTTAGGACACAGGCAGCAGCCACACGACTGCTCTGGATGCTTTTCCCCCCGAATTTTTCCTTGCTGAGGAGGGGAAGGAGCCCCAGAGCCTCGCTGGCGGCGCTGGGGGAGCAGCACCCGCTGTCACCTACCTCGGCTGGGTGCCCGGGAGGGGACTTTGGGGTCCGGGGTGGGTGGCTCGGCCGGGCGGGGCTCGCTCGGGGTTTGGGGTCCCTTCTTGCTGACGGGCATGGGCTGCGGCAGCATCTGCTTGGGCAAACCCTTGAAGAACCAGGCGCCGGAGCGTTTCCACACCTGCGGGAGCAGGGCCGGACCTCTCAGGGCTTCATCCTGCCCGTGCCACCACGGTGCGACCCCCACATCCACATCCTGCAGCCCACCCCGCTAATTAATGAATCAATTAAATCAATTAACTCCCCCCAGCTCATGCTGCAGCAGCCAATCTCTGCCCACAACCTCTGGACCCCCAAAGCTCTGTTTTCATGACATAAAACGTCATTTTGTGTAGAAAACAAAACCACCCTGTAAGAACCAGGCTCAAACAGCCGCTGGGCAAGGCTGGAGGCCCCTGGGAGGGTGAGTCGGTCCCGTCTCGGAGCTGTGGGGTGGGGACAGAGGGGACAGAGGGGACAGGGGGGACAGAGGGGACAGCGGGGACAGCAGGGACAGAGGGGACAGAGGCCACACGCACCTCCCGCTGCTCGCTGCAGATCTTGCAGAGCCAGATGGCCTGGGGCCGGTTGTTGGTGGTCTGCACCCCGCACTTGGTGCACACATTCTGCGGGCAAAACAGAGATCTGAGTGCCACCCGTGCCACCGGGATGTCCCCAACGCCAGCCGCCGGAGCTTTGCCCGCACAGCCACCAGCGACTCCGGGGGTGCCGGGCTATTCGGGCACCCAAAATCCGCGGTGGCCCCGGGCTGGGGGGGGGTCTGGGGCTCGGGGGAGGGGTCTCACCTTCTTGCAGTCCTCGCAGACGACACAGGCGGAGCCCCTCGTCCCCAGCTGCTCCCCGCAGAGGATGCAGCGGTTGACGCCGTCCCCCAGCACGCTGCGGCGCATGTCCTCCAGCCGGGTCATCAGGCGCCTGCGAGAGGGCACGGGGATGTCAGGGAATGCCAGGGATGCCAGGGATGCCAGGGATGCTGGGAATGCCAGGAAAAGGGCGGGATACGGGGGCAGGACCCGCTCGGCCGCTGCCTTTGGTCCGGTTGTTCCTTTTGCAGGTGTCGCTCCCCACGGAGCATCTCCCTTCCCAGCTATGGGACAAAAGCACATCCCAGCGGGAAATGAGATTCCAGCAGGTTTATATGGCACAATATCGACTCGCAGGGATGCTGTCAGAGAGGTGACACCAGCCCCAGCTCCACGGACATGGAAAATCCATCCAAGGCAGCAGCTTTGTCCCTAAACAGAAACCTTTCCACCCAGCCCCAGCAGCTGCCCACGAAGAGCTGAAGGAGGAGACCCTGGAAGGCTTCTAATGAGGACTGAATTAATGAACTGATTAATTTTCTTATTGTTTGAGGAAGAACGTTGTATATATTTGACGGAAATTCTCGCAGTGAAATGAAAGCCCGCTGGAGATCAGGCTGTGAAAACACACCTGGTTCCTGCAAAGGTAAAAAAACGCCCAAAAAGCAGAAGTTTAAGAAAGGCAGCATTGGCTGAAGGAGTTTGGAAGGCAGGAAGGAGCCGCCTCCGAGCAGCCGGGAGCTGGCGTCGTGCGCTCGGCTAACCCAGAATCCTGGCCCTAAAAATAGCCCGGCGAGGGGAAAAAAAACTGCATTATTTATGTCATTCAGTGAGGAAGGAATGAAGAAAGGGAGGAGGAGACCCAAGCCCACCGGAGAGAGCAGCCCCCCGTGGCAGCCTGACCCAAATCTGACAGAGCTGTGGTGGAATAAAAGCACAGCGGGTGTGGAAAAGCTGTTTTCCCATGAGTGGTGACGGCTTCAGATTTGTGGTGACTCGGCTGCCAGGGCCTCTGAAATGCTCAAAAACCATCCACAGGTTCCCTGCACACAAAATGCCTCCAGGGTTGGGGTTGGAGGGCCAGAATTCCATAGGCTCTGTGGGGAAAAGTCGAAGAAAGGAGCAGCAGCACGAGGAGGGGAAATTGTATGAGCATGGAATGGTTTTGGTTTGGAGGAACCTTAAAATCATCCGGTTCCACCTCTGCCACAGGCAGGGACACCTCCCACCATATCAGGCAGTTCCAGCCTGGCCTTGGACACTTCCAGGGATGGGCAACCTGTGCCAGGGCCTCACCACCCTCCCAGGGAGGAATTTCTTCCCAAAATGAAGCATTTTAGGGCGTGCAGGCGATCACATCTCAAAAAGCTCTCCCTGCAGCCAACAGGAGCGTCTCAAAGCCACCAAACCCAGCCACGCTCAGAGATGTGGATCCATAATCCCACAAATTATCCAACCAAATCCACGTTAACACATCAGCTCTGCCAAAACCCAGCCAGGAATCTCCCACCGCTCCCCAGGTGGGGTCAATCCTGCTGGGCTCTGCTGTGGAGCTGCCTCCTGCCTCTTGCAGCTGAACCTGCAGAGATGTGATCCATAATCCCACAAATTATCCAACCAAATCCACGTTAACAGCTCTGCCAAAACCCAGCCAGGAATCTCCCACCGCTCCCCAGGCAGGGCTGATCATGCTGGGCTCTGCTGTGGAGCTGCCTCCTGCCTCTTGCAGCTGAACCTGCAGCCTGCTCCCAGCTGGACGCTGGGCTGGGTGGGCAGCAGCAGAGGCAGACAGAGCCAGCAGAGGGGACAAGGCTCTGTTTTCACAGCCCTGGTGTCACCAGACAGCAGATGGGAAGAGTTCAGGAGTTCCTGCCAGCACCAGGAGCTCGAAAAGCAGCAAGGCTGGTTGTCATCCTCGTGCTGACAAAAAAGCATCCCCAGAAGCACAGCCAGGGGGGTTTTGTGCTCTCCTGCTTCAGGGAGAAGCTCCCTGCCAGCCCAGCTCCCTGCCCCAGTGTGGGATGGGGCTTGGAGCAACCTGGGCTGCTGGAATGTGTCCCTGCCCACGGAATGAGAGGAGATTTGAGGTCATTCCAAGCCAAACCATTCTGGGATTTACGTGAGAGGTGCCGTGGTCCATCCCTGCCCTTCACATCCATGGGTGGTTCCTCTCTAGAGAATAACCTAGCTCTGGAGCCACCCTCCAGCCCTGGTGCCTTCCCAAGCTCCAGAGCCTGTGGCAAACAGAAATCCCAGAGACTCCAGCAGAGCTGCATCACCCCACAAACACCCAGCCAGCAATTCCAATTAAAACCTGGATTCTGCCTGCTCCCCAAGTGTTGTTTCAAAGCAATTAACCCCAGCCCACATCCCATGGAATGCATGATCCCCGCAACATCCAGCTTTTATCATCCCCCAGCTCAGCAAGGGGGAACATTTTGGGGGAAAAGAAACCTCTTTTATTCATGGACAAACCCCACATCTCCTGCAGTTCCTCCTGCTGAGCTGCAGGAGCTCCAAGCAAAGCAGCTTCCAGTTGGAAATCTGCAAGCCCAAACAAACTGATTATAGAAACTGGAACAAATGGCACAATCAAAGGGAGGGAAAAAAAAACCAAACCAACAAAAAAGAGGAAAAAGCCTTTGCATTTCAAGAGATTCATTATTTAGCTGCAAAAAATCTCTCCCAGGCTCTCATTTACCACGAGCTGCTCCTTAAGTGGGATTTTTGAACCACTGGAAGGGCTCAGCAGCCAGGACACACCTGTGGTACCACTGGCAAGCCAAGTACATTTCCCTAATTAAAACAGCCATTCAAGAGGGGAAAAAAGGGTTTTTCTTTTTTTTTTTTTTTTCTCCCCCATGACTCAAATGCTTCTGGGAGAGAACTGTAGAAAAATTTCAATTTAAAACCCTGGTGTGAACCTGGCAGGAAGAAAGGAGGGGTTGTGCCCAGACCCCAGGGCTGAGAATCTCTTGATAAAGGCATCAAGTGGGAGAAAAAAGGCCAGGTTTGTTTCCAGCTCCAAACCCATCCCATTAATAACCCAGGGAAGCCCTGCCCTCACCAGGAATGGGATTTCTGCCTTCCTAAAAGCTTTTCTCTCCACTGGATATCATTCCCTCCTCACTTTTATTGCACATAACCAGCCTCCAGCTCGTCCCTCTCCCTTCCACGGCTCCAGCAGCATCTTCCTCCTCATTATCTGCACTTCAACTCCCCAGGAAATATCCTTCCAGCTGTTCAAATTGGGGAATAAAAATCCAGGACTGAGTGGTGGCAGGGAGCTGGCTCAGCCCGGCCCTCGGGGACAGCCCCGGGGATGGGGAGAAATCCTCATCCCAACATTTCCCACGGGCTGTGGCAGGAAAAAAAAACCCCACAGGGATGAGGGATGGCCTTGGCTTCAGTCCTGGATGGGACAGAACGGTGCTGGCTTGGGCAGAGCTGGGTTTAGGGTTGGATTCCATGATTTTAGAAGCCTTTTCCCACCTCGATGATTATTCCATGGAACTTTCAGCATTGCAGCAGGAGAAGAGGGATGGAAAGAGGGACAGAGTGACCAGAATGAGCTGATAATCCCAGGAAATGAGATTTAACAACAGAGCAGGAGTTTGCTGTGTTTAAATATTCATCAGAACTGCAGAAATGAATGGCCAAGATGTCCTTAATGGGCTTTAAATTGTGGCAGGGAGGGCTTTTAATGCAGCAAAAAAGGGTGGGAGAAGGACCTGATCCAGGCCACTGAGATCCATCCCCAGTGCCGTGCAGGGATGGGCTCAGCCACCACATCCATGGTGAAAAAATTCCAGTGAAACACAAAGGAGGTCACCAAGAGCCTCCAGAATGAAGCCCAGCCTCTTCTCCATGGGGAAATCGTGAGCTTTAAAGGGCTGAATATTAAATTAAGGCTCATTTTCCTGGAGGAAAAGGGACAAGAAAAGCAGCCAAGCTCCAGATTAAGGGAAACATAATTAAAATTGGGATGAGAAGTGAGAAGCACTTTGACTCCCCTCCAAGTGGGCAGGGAGCTAAAGGTAAAACACCACTGGGGCTTTTCCAGGCTGAGCCCTCACCCACAGAGGGAAAACTCCGAGTTTTTCCAAGTGTCCCATCCCATGCTCATCCAGGTGCTTGCTGAATGTGCTGGGAATTTTTGCAGGCTTGGAAATAAGAGAGGAGGGGTTTTTTTGGAGGGGAAAGCTCAACCAAACTCCCACAAAATCTCAAGCAGCACAAGCTGTCCCTGCTGATGACTGAACCTCTTCTCCTCCAGAAATTGGCATCCCAGGAGATGCTCCCGGCTGCCTCCAGTAACTTCCCTGCCCTGCCTGGAGCCTGAATTTTATTGTTGTGCTGTCTGCACACGGGGATGAAGATGCCAGGCTGTGGTCCCCAGACAGCTCCCCTGCCACTGAGGTTAATGATTTAATCCCCAGGGGCTTCCATCTGCTCCTGCGTTATCCCTGTGCCATCGCAGCCGCGAGCAGCCGAATTCGAATCCAATCCTGCTGCAGAGCTGCTCCTCCTGGAGCAGAGCTGGGACCCAGGGGGACACAGGGCCATGGGCAGAGGCAGGAGCCAGCTGTCACCTTCCCTCTGGGAGAGGCAGCTCCGTGCTCTCCAGAAATATCCATTTCCACCTTGGGATGGTTTCAGATCTTCCCCTCGGTGCCAGGAGCGTGCTGGAACTCATTAGGCAGCGGAGCAGCCCGGCTGGGTTATTGATGGCCCCCAATTAGAGATGCAGAACGGAGTCAATTAGTGCCTGCAGGTGCTCCTGTGGCAGCTGGAAAACAGGATCCTCACGGATTGCAGCTGGAATAGCACCAGAGTGCCACCAGAGCCACCACACAGAGCGCGACAGGACAAGAACAGCTCCATCCCTGCCCACAGGGATAATCCCTTTTCCCTAAAACTTCCAGCCCCGTGTCCCTCATCCCGAAGGATGATCCCCAGCAGCTCCTGCTGTGCCATGTCCGAGGTGATTCCAGCTCCCCTCGTCCTCCTCAGCGCCGCGAGACAACAAAATCCCCCCACGCCGAGTGTCCCTGTCCTGAAACCCTCATCAGCATCCAGCTCACGCATCCCACAGGCTCCATCCCCCCTCGGAGCTAAAAATACTCCTGCACAGGCTGAGTCCTGAGCTGGGTTTGACACCCAGTCCAGTTCCACAGACAACAGCTCCACAAGAGGCGTCCGTTTGTCCTCGAGACAAGGGGCCGGTGGGATGGAGGATACAGGAGACAAAAATTGGGAAGGATTTGAGGCTTGAGGAGGTTCATCCACAGCCCTGGTGGTGGGATTCAGGGTTCCTCAAATGAATCCCTCAAACACCTCCACTTATTGAGGCAAATTCCAAGCATTCACCACATATTCCCCCTATAGAGTCTCACTCTGTGTCAGCTATTCCTTGTATTAACCAAAAGCAGCGTTTTCATGGAGGAATAGAATGGTTTGGGTTGGAAAAGAGCCCCTGCATTGGGCTGGGACACCTCCCACTGTGCCAGGTTGCTCCAATACCACCTTGGATACTTCCAGGAATGGTGCAGCCACACCTTTTCTGGGTGACTTTTAATGGATTTATTTTTCCCTTTACAGGAATTTTTAAAAATCCCAGAAAAATCTCAGAAAATCAGGCTTTCCATGAGCAGCTCCCCAAAGCAGCCTGGCCAGCTGAAGGCCAGCCAGCACCGCTGTCTCCCTGCCAGAGGCCAGCCTGGCAAAACCGGATTATTTTTGTACTAGAAGCAGCGATCCTGGATAACACCCGAGCCTCTCCCGAGCGGAGGCTGATCCAGCCGCTGTCCCACATTCCCGGGGCTGAACATCCCACAGCTCTTGTCGTGCAAGCCAACAAACACAAAGGGGCTGGCACGGCTCCCTGCGCCTCCTCCAGGGGGGGAATCGGCCGCACATCCGCCAGAATTCCCGGCTTTTCATGAATGAGGATGAGCACACCTCCTCCGGCTCGGCGGAGAAAGGGAAGAGTTGGAAAACAGCTGCACAAAACGCAATCTCTCCCCGAGATGATTTACGGCTCGTCCAAGGAGCATCTCGCGTCGGGGAGGAATTGTTAGCTGTAAAAAGGGAAACGCTGTTCGTGAGCTCTGCTCGGGCGTGAATCGCCGCTCGGAGGGAGCTCCTGCCAAAAACCGCGGCAGGGAAGCGCTGCGCCGTGGAAAAGTGATGCCAGAGGCCGGAGGCAGCTCCGGCCGGAGGGAGCAGCGCATCCCCGGGGCAGGAGCCGAGCCCGGGGTGGGGAGCAGCCCCTGGAGGGGCAAAACCCGCCCAGCATGCGAAAATCCCAGCGAGGATCTCTGAAAAACGAGGGGATAAATC